GTTTTCTATTCACGACTCAAACGGACACTTCTCCACAGAGGAATAAAGCTGACATACCACAGTGTCAATACCACAGATCAAATCGTATATACAGTGCATTTATTGAAGCAACATATCCAGTGATGCAGGACTCTGTATTGACAGTGTGTAGAATTTTACACTAGAAATAAATTATATTTTTGTGGCCTTTATAAAAAGCTGATTTAAAAAGCGAAGCGTGTAATTACTGGACCACTAGCTACACCAAACTGAATTTAAAAAATAATGACAAAAGAACTGGTCCTTTCCTGTTTTCCATTGGTTGGCCAAACGGGTAGCCCCACCTCCAAACTCACCCCATTGGTTGAGCCCAATAAGACTGTTCAAACACACTGCAATTCCATTTGATGCCACTAGTGGTGCAAAATTATACATCTTTTTTACAGTAAATAAAATACAAATATTTATACAAGGTTGTTTGTTGATGTTATCAGTGTAGTGAGAACTTCAGGATTTGACTTTTTATGACTATGTAATAGTGTCAAAGCTCACCGTGTTTGCATGGGTGGATTTTAGGTTAGCAAGTTAACAATGTTTTTTTTAAACAGAGACAGGGAAACTCTTCATGCCAGGCTACAATATATTCTCACCACATGGTATGAGGAAGCTGGCAACAGCATTAGAAGGTAACCAATGTGCTTTTCAACCCTTGATGAAAAATGTAACAAATGCCTTCACAATATTCCTATTGAGCAGCAAAAGGGCTTGCAGAGACTGAAAAAGAAAAAAATGAATAACTTAAACACCATTTCCTCAAGGGAGCATTCCAGGGATTCATAAACAACAGTATTAACTGTATAATACTTGGTCCAGCATTAATATTATACTGTTTGTAAATTGTACGTCAAAGTTACATTCCTGTGAGAATTCTTACCGAGTCGTGATCTTATTAGTATCGTATTAGGCTGTATCCTAGAGGCCGCTAATACCGAACCTGACCCGTGTCCGAGGTACTCGCCTAAGTTTTGACCTCGGGTTTTCGGATCCAAGTGGACCCGTGAAGACCTCTAGTTTAGAGTGGTCTGGGTTTGATATCTGGGTCTTGTAATCAAACACAATGCATCAAATTGGAACATGTGGAATCATGAATGTGATTTACAATGGACAAAGTCATTTGGACTAATTTTATGGTGCTTTTATGATGCTTTCTTCATTTCAGAAAAAAAACTGAACATTTTTCATAATGAGGGTGAGTAAATAAACTGAATTTTAATTTCTATTCAAATTAGAGCTAAAAAGTTCACATTACAAAATACAAAGTAAATGTGTGTTCACATTAGTGAAACTTGTGCAAAATTTTGCACAGTAAAGATCCATTCTCAGTAGTACCGCAATGTATGAGGCACAGCTCACAAAAAGTCACTTTCAAACTTTCTGCTGGTCAACACTGTTGATTCGTGTCACCAACTTGATATGAAATCTGCGCTGGGAGATTGTTTCACCCTCATACAAACTTAGCTGCATGGATTCCATTTGAAATGACTGGATGTCGCCCGTGAGCGTGACACCACACCTTAATGTGTTGTTGTGAAACCCTGCTGCTGAGAGTACCTGGTGGTTTGTCTCCAGTTCTTCTGAGGTTGATAAAATGCTCAATGTCTTCTTGAATGTTACATTGCTCCAGTGACTTCCTCACTTCCTCAAGGAGCTGCGTAACACAGATACACATGGTGAGGCGAGTTCCACATGTGGGTCTTACCTGATGCCGCACAGTCAGGTTACCTCATCGCTGGAGACACACTGCTGGGAGAGATGGTTGAGATGGGTCCACACAACGTTTCTCAGGGTGCTGATCCTCTCCACTTCCTGTTTCTCAAAAAACTGGCAAACATGCACAAGAGATGTCACAAGTAGAAAAAATGTCTTTCTTCATTCAGTACACCAGTCAGTCAATAATCACCAAATATAAAACAACTTGTTGAAGCATGTTTTAATTTAGGCATTTTATGTGTAATTCAATAGATTTGTTTGACCTTTAATGGTTTTACAGTCAACACGAAATGCCATTTACAACCCATTTTCAAGAGGTATGCAGGCTTCACATGACCTGACATGAGCACGTTTGATTTGTCATCGATGTGTTGTGAAAAGCGATCATCGGTGTTGGAGTGTGTGATGCAGGTTGGGGCGTAAAGCTCACCTCACATGCTTTGACATGCTCGTTCAGCCACTCCTCTCTCATCTTCCCCAACAAGGACACATTCTGACTATAGATCCTGTCTATTATGGAGTTGAACAAACAAAGACATTAGAAATAGAAGCGTTTATGGCTGGGAAATACAGCTAAATAGTCACATCGCAATATTTTTCAGTCTTTTGATGATATTTAAATCATATCTTAATATTTTTTTTTCAGTTTCACCATAATTTTAACAAAAAATGTTTACACAGTTTTACTAAATAAGCAAAAGATACTTAATAATGTGCATTTATATACACTAATATAACAACACATAGGCATATAAACTACATATATTTCTGCTTTTCTGCTAACGATTCCACTTCCTTAATTTTTGTATTTTATTTTACTTTTGAGGAAAGAATTTTTTGGGGGAAAAAATAATTTCATACAAAAAAATTGTGTAAAATTATATAACTTTCATTACATCATTTTGATATTCTGATTTCTTTTCAGAAGCGACACAAATGCAGTCCAATAATTGGCCTTAAAATATATTAAACAATACCAATAATACTAAACAACCATATTTCATTCATTCATTTATTTTTATGAAATACTTTTGACAAAACTGATTAAGTGTGTCTTGTACTACACATATTGACATATGAACAACCGGTCCATAACTACACAAGCCTTAAGTCTCATTCAATTGGGAATCAGACTACACTGATTCAGCAGTTTGTTGCAGATTTGCTAAAAGGAACCAACTCATAAGACTCAATTGTTCGGGAATCGGACAACACTGATTTAGAGGTATGCTGTTGATTCACTAAAAAGAGCCAACTCATAAGTAGGGATGTAGCGATTCACTCAACTTACGATTCGATTCAAGATTTTGATTTCACGATTCGATTTTCTCACAATTTTTTTTACAAAATGTTATTGAAGACAAAATATATAGTAAATGAAAAGGTGTCCTTTTATTAGGCTATTTTTGCATGTTTCTTTGTGAAATTAAAATATAACAATGCTAAATTGAAATTTTAAAACAAACCTCAAATCAATAAATAAGTTACACAAATGAAAGAAATCTCTTCATATAAACAAACTAAGGCTTTGTCTGTGCTCTTTCCATTTAAAATTAGAGACAACCACTGCATTTTATTCATGATCTAAACAAAGATGCAGCATATATGCAGCATGAGAAGTTTTTAATATAAATTAGACTGTATAATTTCAAATTCTGAAGCAAAAACAGAATGGTCCGACTTTAGTTTTGTGAAACTATACATAAAACATATGAACGAAACAGTAGACGAACTCAATGAGACGCAAATTCACTCTCTGACAGCAGGTGGCACTTATGAACAGCAATAATACGGTGTTTCCTGGGTTACCGCTCTTAGAACACTACTTTAATATTAATATGCATCGTTCAGAGCCAAGATGAAAAGAAAATGCCATCTAAACTTTTCTAAAGACAGTCAGTTCCCCTCAGTGATACATTCATATAAACTCCTACCCCAATTGTATCGCGATTTGGTTAGCATCCCAACCACTGGTCTATAAATAGATCAGTGATCTCAACCGATTTGAATCGTTATGCTTTTGACTCACTAAAAAGAACCGACTCATAAGACTCAATCATTCAAGAATAAGACTACACTAACCTAACTGTACATATTGTAGGGTGACCATACGTCCTCTTTTTCCCGGACATGTCCTCTTTTTGGACCTACAAAAATGCATCCAGCCAGGATTTCTTAAAAGGGTCATATGATGTGCTTTAAATTTTTCCTTTCCCTTTGCAATGTGTTACAAGCTCTAGGTGCATAAAGGAGATCTGTAAAGTTGCAAAGACTAAAGTCTCAAATCCAAAGAGATATTCTTTATAAAAGTTAAGAGTCAGCCACGCCTACCTAAAACAGCTCGTTCTAACACGCCCCCACGTCTACGTCACTATGTGGGAAGATTTGCATAACGCCGCCCAAATGTTCACGCAAAGAAAGAAGGCGTAACTTTTATTCTCGCTGTAGTATTGTTGTTGCCGCCGCCATGTTGTGGAGACACGTGTGTATTTGTGTTCTGTGTGTTTCATTGTGAAAGCGAAACTACTTTGGTTGGCTTTCCAAAAGAAGACGATATCCGCTTCGTCATGCCTGGAGCTGATCCGTGCTGGTCGCTGAGGAAATACATCAACTTCACGCTGTGGCGAAGCGGAGTCTAGCCCGGGGTCGTCACATGTGGTTGCCGCAAGTATTCGGCCAATCACAACGCACTGGATAGCTGGCCAATCAGAGCACACCTCGCTTTTCAGACCGATGAGCTTTGTAAAAATCGACGCGTTTCGGAAAGGCAGGGCATAGAGGAGAAACAATAATGTACAGAATGCAAAATAATGTGTTTTTGAACGTTAAACCACAAACACATTTCATTACACCAAATACACCAAATAATGTTTAGCAACATCATATGACCCCTTTAATTGCCCAAAATGTCCGGGATTCGGCTGTTTTCTAATCCCGCTCCCCCTGAATCTCTGACCATTGCCACCTGCTCCCGCAACATGTGTTTTGCTCCCGCGATTTTCGTTTCCACTCCTTTAAACATTCTAATATTGTACATAATTATGGCACATCAGGGAGCCGCTCTCAGTATGCGGAGTTTTTAAATCTCTTTTGAATGAGCATTTGCCGCTGTTTACTTTCACTTTCGATTTCGCGATCACACGCACTCTTTGTAAAGGGAGCACATCTTACAAGATCAGATATTTGTCAATGAGCCCAGGATCTGTTGAGCGTATACTCCAGCATGGTCTTGTCAGTCATCTCTCCTTATTCTTGACCTGTGATCAGTCAAATCTGACTCCTGCAGCTCTTGTTGGATGCAGGGTTGCCAAGTCCGCGTTTTTTTCCACAGAATTGGGCTACTTTTAAACTGTTGACATGGGTTGATTTTCCCAAGTGGGTTAAAGGTTTGAAATATTGCATAAATTGCATTTGACTGAAATGCTTGTATTAAAACAGTTTGCATTCTACCTATGATAAATCTTTCATGGACTTCTACATTAACTGTTCCCTCCTGGTGGAATGACCTGCCCAACTCAATCCAAGAGTCCTTAATATTTTCAAGAAATGGCTGAAAACACCCCCTCTTTCATCTTCATTTGACCCTCTAACTCTAGCACTCTCTATTCTAATGCTACTTCTAATTTTATCTCCTTTTTTATTAAAAAACTTGACCCTCTAACATTTGCACTCTCTATTCCATTTCTATTCTAACTACTTTTTTATTTATAAAGAAAGAAGAGCCTCTAACACTAGCGTTCTCTATTCTTTCTACTTATTTTCTTATTATAAATAATGACCTTCTAATACTTGCATTATCTGTTCTTTTTCTGTTCTATTGACTTGTTTGTTTGTTTTTTTTAAATGACCCTGTATGAGTTTCTTCCATCTGCTGAAAGCAAAAGAAGATATTTTGAAGAATATTGGTAACCAAATAGTTGACAGTAGCCACTGACTTCCATAGTGTCTTTTTTTCCATACTTTGGAAATCAATGGTTATTGGCAACTGCTTGGTGACCAACATTCTTCAAAATATCTTCTTTTGTGCTTGACAGAAGAAAGAAACTCATACAGGTTTGGAACAACTTGAGGGTGTGAGTAAATTATGACAAAATTTTCATTTATCTTGTGAACACTCTTGTATTATATATACAAGAGTTTTTAATGTCTCCAGGTGTAAAAACTGTGGTAGCCTATGGATGTTACATGTTTTAAATACACTTTGTGTCAGGCAGTACTATTCGTGGACTGACATTTTATCAATCTATGTGATAACATTAGCAATTCATTTCCCTACTAAAAATGATCAACATTTCCTAGTAGCAAGGTGTTAGCACTATTTATTTGTTGAAGTAGTTGAACACAGATTTACCATTAGTAGAACACTACTGAACATAAACTCAGGTAATTCACACATGCTTAATCTGTTTCTCTCTCACACATACACAAAGCAATGGCTTAAAGGGATAGTTCACTAAAAAAATATTTCATTTACTCACCCTCTGTATGAGTTTCTTCCATCTGCTGAAAGCAAAAGAAGATATTTTGAAGAATATTGGTAACCAAATAGTTGACAGTAGCCACTGACTTCCATAGTGTCTTTTTTTCCATACTTTGGAAGTCAATGGTTATTGGCAACTGCTTGGTGACCAACATTCTTCAAAATATCTTCTTTTGTGCTTGACAGAAAAAAGAAACTCATACAGGTTTGGAACAACTTGAGGGTGTGTGTAAATTATGACGGAATTTTCATTTATCTTGTGAACACTCTTGTATTATATATACAAGAGTTTTTAATGTCTCCAGGTGTAAAAACTGTGGTAGCCTATGGATGTTACATGTTTTAAATGCACTTTGTGTCAGGCAGTACTATTCGTGGACTGACATTTTATCAATCTATGTGACAATAACTGAAATTATACATCGGTACTTACTTCATTTCACTGTGTCCACACACTTTCTTGGACAAACCGAGCAGTTCCTTGGCATATTTTTCTTCTATCGCAGCTCTGAAAATAAGTGTGTTTTTATATTTTAGATCAATGTTTTGTACATAATGACATATTGAGTTAATCTGTTGGTTATGTTGTTTGAATATTGAGTTAGTTTCACACTTTCTATATTGAGGAAATATTTCCACCCATTTTTGGTGTTTTCTCCATCCCAGCTTAATGAGTTTCTTTCTTCTGTTGAACACAGTTTCTGGTCCCCATTGATTTCTATAGCATTTTTTTCTATAAATTTCTGTTTGTTTTCCAACATTCGACAGAAGAACGAAACTCAAACAGGTTTGCAACAACTTAAGGGTGAGTAAATAATGACAGAAGTTTAATTTTTGGGTAAACTATCCCTTTAAGAAAATGCAATGGCCCATTTTAATTTCATGTTGACTAACTTCCAGTATTTGTTTCTGTAACTATTTGATTTAACACAGTGGCGCATTGGAAAAATTATAACTGTAAATCATTTTCACATCAACAACAGGAAATCTTGCAACAATGCTCGTCATGAGGTATTTTCCCCCCTTTTTTTAAAGACTTCGGTTACTGTAACATTCCTTCAGTTATATGTGTATGCACTATGGAGGGTTTACCCGAATGTATAACTGTGAGAACGTCAAGAGTTTGAGGTAAATGTGTCAAACTAGGTGGTAATGACTGTGACTTCTCACCTGGCCTTCATGAAATCCTCGATTTCTTTGCACGTCCTCTTGCCGTCATTCAAGTGCTGGATGATGCTGTCATATCCAGCTGTGCTGATGATTTCAGTGTTCTGATATCACAATTGAAGAATAACAATATATATATATATATATATACAAAACACATAGGCAGATGTTTTATCAAGTAACTTCACAAAAGTCACACCAATTATTCGTAATCTGAAAGCACAAGCCAGGAATCCACAAAGTGCCACATGTATCACCAATTCCTCACTGTATACATGAAGGCTATAGGCTTCAGAAACATGGTGGTTTGAACTGTTGACTATCATTACTCATGAGAGCTCAGTCTCTGTAATTTATTAGTCTGAGGGGCAGACATAGCATCATACCCAAAGCCACAGTCAACATGAACTATCTCCCAAAATAAAAGCTAAGAAAACAAAACTAAATTGCACTTTATTGCCTGCTTTGCCTAATAAGGTCTGATTTCTCAGGCTGGCATGGCCAATAGTCAAATAGCATGCAGACACAATTCAGCATGAGACAGCACATTGAGATACGCTTCTTCTTTTTTATTAACAATATATTATTTTATAAGAATTAACTATTTGGGTTGTTTAATGGACGACAAGGCTACACATTATGTGTTGACCACACTTCCCTTAAGGAAAATCAGCCCTGTTTCGATATGTGACAGGCGAGCTCAAAATAAAAGGTTTAACTATTTGTTTAACTTGCATCAAATCAGAGAAAGTTGGTTATCATTTATTATTATACAAATAAACAGTATGTCCACTATATTTTTCACTAAGAATTGATTGTATGCCCCCCAAAATACGAAAACCTTACCCAAAAATTATCTTTGAAATGCAGTTCTCTCATTGCGTCGGCTGCAGTTTGCTCACTCAGAAAGTGACTGTGAAGTTCCGTATCAGGCTGTAATAACGCTGTGACTTGATTTTACACAGACGTGGTGGTCTGCTGCACATCGAGCTTAAAAATAACACGCCTCAGGGTCCTAAATGCGCATCTTTCACGCCTGTCCAGAGAGCGAAAGTGGCTGTGGAACAGAAAACGGACCCGCAAATTTTAGTGGACTATTCTACCACCTAGTGACTGAACTGTGAAGTTGCAGTTCTTATGAAGTTGTAAAATAAACCTGGCCGTCCTTAGGGCGGTGCAACCGGTGCTATAATATAATAGGCTATAATATAATATAATATACTTTTTCGTGCAACATTGAGGATTTGCTATTCATCCTTCAGTCTACTTGCAAGGTGAAGCACAAGAATGTATCATCAATCTTAGTGCTGCAAAGAGAGCGGATCTTCCATGCAATGTTTTAATGCAAATATACCAACTTGATTTTTTTTATACGGCCAACTTTTTAAGAACCAATTAAAAAACTGGCTAGTGAAGGAGCAGACCTCACATTTAAAGGCAAGAGAAGCTGATTACATGACCTGAGTGCTCATTGAATGTGAGGTGTGTCCAAGTATGTTGTCCCATACTTGGAATTTGAGCACTGTATTTAACCCATCCAAGTGCACGCACACAGCAGTGAGTAGTGAACACACTCTACTCAGAGCAGCGGGGAGCCCGGAGAGCAAAGGAGCTATTGGGGGTCCGGTGCCTTGCTCAAGGGTATGAAAGGTGGAAGAGAGTGTTCATTCACTCCCCCCACCCACAACTCCTGCTGGTACTGGGACTCAAATCTACAACCTTCGGGTTACAAGTCCGACTCTCTAAGCATTAGGCCATGACCGCAGTGGAGTGTGACGAATTAAAAGAGCAATTATGCATTTTGTTGCAGTACCAGATAAAGCTTTATACACAAAAACAGCTATTTTAAAAGCAGAGCAATTACAGTTTGAGGCAGGTCACAATATTGTGGAATTACAGTAGTCCAGGCAGGATGTTATAAGAATGTGCATTACAGTCTCAAAATTTCTCGGGGACAGAACCTGTTTTAATTTCGCAATTGATCTCAGATGAAAGAAGCTGCCCTTTACCACAGAACTGATTTGTTTGTCAAGGTGTAGTGACATATCAAATGTAACCCCAAGACTTCTTGCATGTGGTTAAAAACTAGCTGCAGGAAAACCCTAATTAAAATCAGAAGACCTTTTTGCATTTACTTTCATTTAATTGCAAAACAAGTACTAGTCATCCAACATTTAATCTCCTCATACGTAGCAGTCACAAAAAAAACATAAATGATAACCATTATTGGTTTTTGCTGGAAGATAAAATTTTGTATTGTCAGCATAGCAGTGGTAGGATAATCCTATATATCTTAAAAATGACACCCAAAGGAAGCATATAAAGTGAAAAAGAAAAGGAACTAAAATAGACCTTTGGTGCACACCGCATCATAAAGGAACCAACAAAGAAGGAAATTCCCCAGTGGTCACTGAGAAGGTTCTGTCTTTAAGATAAGAGGCCAACCACTGCAGGGTAACCCCCTGAATATCCACCACCTTTTCCGGACAATTTAGCAGAATACTATGATCGGTTGTATCGAATGCAGCACTTAAATCACTGGCCTTCAACAGTGCAGTTTGTGAACCACAGTATGTTTAAAAACTAGAAGGTACAACTCCATTTGAACTGTTAATAATAACTGTTACAGCTGCTCAGTTTCAAAAACTTCCTTGAAAAGACAAGTTGACATAACATCAGACTCACAGCTGGAACATTAAAGATTCACAATCTGAACAATTTGATGCTGGTTGACGCAAGTTAGAGCCAGTCTGCAGATTTGAGAGATTTCATAGGAAATTGCATAGTGTATGATGGTCACAAACTCCGATTTTTTAGGTTCAGACTCTGATTCCATCCAGTCAGACTTGTTTGGCATTTTGAGCCAATTTTACAACACGTTTTCATTTGGCACACATTTTCTAGAAATAAGGCAAATGTTTCTGCGGGAACCTTTATAAAGTCTGGTAGTGTTTGATCCTCAGTTGTTTAGTGTATGAAGACCAGTGTTTTCTCTGTGACTGTTTAAAAAGTTGGTAAGTGTATGATGCCTAGCGTTTTAAAATGTCTTCAGATTTTCACAAAGTTGAGAAGTGATGTAGCATTCATGAAGTGTATTCCAGCCTTTAGCTTTAAAAACAATATCAGCTAGCTGAGCAGAGGAAATTAAAGGCACTCCAAAGAGAAAGGAAAACTTGAAATCGCATCATATGACCCCCTTTAAGCAATTAATTAAAAAGACTTACTACAATAGGGGGTGGTGTATATTAACAATTTATAATTAATTACATAATTAACATAATAGTATAATCAAATAAGACATAATACTACATGAACTAGGGTTAGGATTAGTAGTTAACACTTAATGCATTTCTTTTGGAATGTTACCTTTAAACCAAAATAACCAATAGATGGCTGCAGTGATCCACATATTTTGCTCACTATAGCCCAGTGGTTCTAAACCAGGGACCTTAAAATAAATTCAAATCATTTAAATTAAGTTATATTAAATTAATCACATTTATAACAATCTAAATAAAAATAATCTAACCTGCTCTAATTGACATAGCTGTCAAAAAAACAAAAAAACAAATAAAATACAGCCTATACATATAGCAGCATGCTGATTTGCTGCTCAAGACACATTTCTGATTATTATCACTGTTGAAAACACGGATTCTTATTTTTATTAGAATTCTCTGATGAATAGAAAGTTCAAAAGAACATTGCTTAAAACATAATTTTTTTTAAATCATTATAAATGTTTTTTTTTCCATCACTTTTGATCAATTTAATGCATCCTTACGGAATTTTAAAAACAAAAACAAAAAAACACTTACGAACAGTACAGTATCTGTTCTCAATACTTTATCAGTTTTTTTGTACCTTTATAGTTGTTTGCGAGAAACTTGTAAATCAAAATAAAACAGCCTTTGTTTTGTCTATCACCTTTATTAAAAATTAAGGGCACAAACTCACACCGTCTCTCTAGCCAACCCCTTTGAAAACCCCAACCATGAAAATCTCAAATATAAAAAGACATACAATGAACAACTACTTCAATAAAACCTAACCTAAAATTTACATACAAAGTGTCCTGGTCACCACATTGGCTTTGCGAAGCATGCCGCTCGACAAAGGCAAAAACAAAGCAATTATACATTTGTCAAATTTATGACAGATCTCTTAAGACTGTGATCTGTCCCTTGGCCGATTTAGAGAAGGTGTAGATACTGTGTTTGGGCATTGGAGGGCAACATAAGCAGAACTGCAGAGCAAGAATCCGTTTTAAAAAAGCATCCAGGTTGCCAGTGAACTGCAGGCAGATCTTATATTCTCCTTACAGCATCGTCAATCTCACTTATCTGCTCTTTTAGTTGGTTCCACTGCTCTGGGTTCAGTGAAATACCTGTAATAAGCACATCAAACAGAAATAAAAAAAACTCGGCTCACTTATATACAAAAGTACTTTTTTATTTTTATTTTGAATTTTGAGCATTAGAGTTGGTAAGTTCAATTCAATCCAAATTAATTATTTGTTCACATCACTCAATTTTAATTAAACAGAATGCTTTAGTACACAAATGTGTGTATGAAAATATGTTTATCACAAGGTATTGCTATATTGGTGCATGTGACAATTATTTCTCCTTGCATTCAACTGGTGAGAAACAGTACACAGATATGGCTAATTTGTTAGTTTCTTTTGCTTCTTGCATTTTGAAACCGTTTTGCAATTGTGCAATGGCCTTTTGGTCAAAACAAACCTTTTAATCAATTTATGAGAAAATATACATAATATCAAGATACTGATTATTTATATAGGCTACATTTAGAATTTTATTTTATGTGTGTGTGTGTGTGTGTGTATATGTGCGTGTATTCCCCTGTAGAGTACAGGAAAGCCCATATAGGCATAATCCATGTAACCCAATGTTTTAAGAATAAACATGTTTAAAATAATATTATAATTGAATGTTTAATATTACCAAAAATGCCTAGTTAATTGTCTGTGTGCTTGTATATTTGTGTAGTGCATTTCACAATTTAGTTAGTTTTTGTTAGGCTTAGTTCCTCTTAGATGTGGATTTTTAAAATGCATACCCCCATAAAGCAGCCCTCTCTAATTTTAAATACAGGTTACACTTTATTTCAAGGTGTCATTGTTACACTGTAATTATACATTTAAATACTGAGCAATATTATTCAACTACATGTACTTGCTATATGGTTAGGGTTAGGATTCGGTTTGGGGTTACTTGCATGTAATTATGCATCATTTATTGCTATTATAATAGCAAGTACATGCAACGTGTAACAAGGACACCTTAAAATAAAGTGTTTCTGAAATACATAGCACAATCTCTACCAGGTGCCATTTCTACTGTCACATTTGAACCCACGAAGAGTAGCACCTACCTTTCCGGCCTGGTTTCATTTCACCTTCTTGGTCCATCCAGTATTCCCGGATATCAATCAGCACTTTTCCCTTGAAATCACGAACACTCACATACCTCATCTTTCCTATCTTAAAAAAGAAAACAATACATATAATATATAATTGTGTGATCCTAATCTGCATTAAGTTAAGCTAAACATATACTTTTTTCATAGCAATCTTCACCTGGAACATATTGTCATTTTTACTGCTACTGCTTTTAGAGGCAGATGACCCTTTTGAGGTTTCTCCACTTTTTTGTTTCTTTGATGGCCTTTCTGGTGTTGCTTGCTTCTTTCTCTTGGCCTGAAATACAGAATGTCACATCAAACACAAAGCCAATAACACAGAAACTGTGAATTTTACATTAAAATGGTACTTCTAATGTTCTGGCAACACAAAACGGGAGGTTATTCTCAATAAATGTCCACATTTGCAGATGTAAATACTCTTGGATGTGATGTGCTTTTCTTTCAATTGGATAAAAGTGTAAGGTGAGGATATTAATTTCTATACCTTCGTATCAACTTCACTGTCAGAGTCACTGTCTGAGGAAGAAGACAACACTTCCTTTGACTTTGGCATCCTGAAAAGGACGACAATGCCATTTAAATGAAAAACCAAGCCAAAAT